AGCTGAAAGACTGGTAAACTCACGGCCCATCACTTATGTGAGTTCAGATCCAAACGACCTGTCCCCACTTACTCCAAATCATTTTATAGTCGGACAGATCGGTGGGGTATTTGCTCCTGAAGCTCTTGATCAAGTTTAAGCGAACAACCCTAGGAATCGCTGGCATCGAGTACAACAATTGTTACAGCTGTTCTAGAAGCGCTGGAGAAAGGAGTTCCTTCCACGTCTTAATGTAAGCAAGAAATGGTTTCATCCCAAACATAACCTGAAACAAGGCGATGTGGTATTGATTGCTGAACCCAAAGCAAGTAGGGGAGAATGGCCTCTTGCCCGTGTGATCGAAGCGTATCAAGGAAGTGACGGCCTAGTCCGAGTTGTAAAGGTGAAATCCAGGAACAAAGAATATTTCCGTCCTATACATCGATTGTGTCCTCTTCTATTGTCCTATCGGACAATGAAGATAGGTAACTGAAACGTTATATAGAAGTGAATATACTGTAAAGGACGTTAATTAAGTCGTATTTGTTAGTATTCATTGACATTGCTAATCCCTCTATTTATTGTCTTTATTAAGTGGAATCGAATGCGTTGCATTCGGGAGGGGGACGTTAAGGAACGATATTATTATATGAAGTACTTGTTATCATGACCGCTGAAATAGTCGCGCGGGCGACAAAACGTAGTTTGAACGTTCTAGTTTATATTTTTCGACTACAAAAAGTGTGACAATATTTAGGCTATTTTTGTGTTTAAAGACTTGGAATAAAGTGGCGAATTATCTCGTGTAGACATTTTATAGACAGTTCAATTAATCGGGAACAGCACCCTTTTTGGCGTTTGGCGGAAAATCACTACTGCGCGCTCAAAATCAGTCCGATTTTCATCAAATTTTCACCAAATGTTAGCCAGTGCATGCAAAATATGGTAAAGTTGTAAAATTGACAAACAATAAAATAATGTAAGAATTATTCAGGAAAATCTTAAATCCCGGTACCTTTACGCTTTCCACTAGTTGTGTTCCTGCTTGTTTTAAGATATATTTATGAAAATATCATTTTTATACAGTAAAATAGTTGTTCTAAAAAATGGTGTTCGGAAATTTTTGTTTATTTCGTCATTTCGCTGATATGACCACAGGTGGCCCAATCTTACCCTGTATTATTAATTTATTACGTTATATCTTTATATAATAGTATATTGAAAATCATTAGAAAATCCTGTGTTATTAATTTATTACGTTATATCTTTATATAATAGTATATTGAAAATCACTTACATGTGTTTCCTGAAAGATTTTAACGAGAACCGGCCAAGATTGGCGTTGACATGAGGTTAACGGCCATGGTTGGGGTTGACATGAGGATTAACAGCAGGAAATAATAGAAGGCTGGTCACTTTGACCGTTATTGGACTAATTGGGACAAACGCTGACAGAAATCAATCGAATAACTCAATAACGCGAACTTCGGCTGTCGCATCGTCGCCAAATTACGTTACATCGGAAGAGCGATAATTTTTACATAATATACTTTTCTTTAACAGAATTGAACAATATCTTCCTGCAGAAAATGCCGAATTGAAACTTACAAATGTCTAATCTTCCGAGGTTTGTGACCGGTATGAATTCATGGCCTTCAAATTCGAATTACACGCTGCATTGTCATTGGTCGGCTTTCAAAACAACAACAGGCCATTCGCAGAGGCCATTCGCTAATTCCCCAAACGGTCGCTCTCTTACCGGAAATATCCTGTTGTTGTTATTTCCTGCTGTTAATCCTCATGTCAACCCCAACCATGGCCGTTAACCTCATGTCAACGCCAATCTTGGCCGGTTCTCGTTAAAATCTTTCAGGAAACACATGTAAGTGATTTTCAATATACTATTATATAAAGATATAACGTAATAAATTAATAACACAGGATTTTCTAATGATTTTCAATATACTATTATATAAAGATATAACGAAATAAATTAATAACACAGGGTAAGATTGGGCTGCTGTGATATGACGATTTCTTTGACAACTGCAATATATTTCTGAATCGTTTGAGTGAATTGCTCCTTATTATTAAAATAACCAAAATTAGAACAAAGCCGAACACAATTTTGCAAATGACGTCTTTAGCTATGTCCTGTGAAAATTTGAGAAAAATTCGTTAAAACCCGCAGGAGAACAACTCGTTTGAAAATCAGTAATTGCCGTAAAATGTTTCGGGAGAAAATTGAATTTGAATATTACATTTTCAATGTTTTTCTTATTGCTGCAAAATGTATTTTAATAAATAACTCTGCGAGTTTTCAACATTTTTCGTTCAAACTTTGTCAGATAGTAGGACTAGTCTAATGCTTTCGTGGAAACCAATAAAAAAATGTTAGGCAAAATTAACACTCAAAGGTGTTCTAACCTTAACTAATAGACAACTTGCATGTTAGACAAATTTTTGATCTAACCGATCTAGGCAAAAAAAAAAGTAAATTCCCGTTAAGAACTTATTAAAATTAGTAAACTTGCAAAATTTGGTTGCGAAATGTTGTAAAGCTTGGAAAATATAGCCTTGCAAAGTTTGCATATTTTCAGTATATTTGTATTACGTGCGGAAATTGTTACCATTTTTGAGCCGAAAATGGTAACAATTTCCGCTCGTAATACAAATATACTGAAAATTTGCAAACTTTGCAAAGCTATATTTTCTAAGCTTTACAACATCTCGCAACCAAATTTTGCACTTTTACTAATTTCAGTATGTTCTTTTCAGCTGTGGTGTTTGATTTCCTTTTCTCTGCTTAGATTAAAATTTAGTCTAACATGCAAGTTGTCCATTACGGTTAATATTCTTTTTTACTTTTTGTGCATTTTTCCTTCTTTTATTTCAAATACAAGCATAGTTAGCAAACATTTTAGAGCGAATTTGGATGCTCAGAATGCAGGAAATGGCATTTCGGTGCTTCAAATATATTTTTATATATTTTTTAGACCCCCACACATGTGACCATTGCTATCCTCCTCTGATAAGTAATGATAAACGATGGTTAATATTTTAAACTTTTTGTGCGTTTTTCCTTTATTTATTTCAAATACAAGTATAGTTAGCATAAATTTTGGAGCAAATTTGGATACTCAGAATGCAGGAAATGACATTTCCGAGATTCAAATTTCAAAAATTTTCTGGGGTAGTATCCCCCCAGGCCCCCCCCCCCATTCGTGCGTGGTAATTTAGCCACACACGTGGCCTTCAGCCATTGCTATCCCCCTCTAATATATTACCTCACAGAAAGGTCCCTTTTCAAAAATGCCCCCCCCCGGGAAAATCCTTAAAAAAGGCCCTGGCAGTAATATAAGTATGCATGAACAGAGACACAGAGCCACGGAAGATCGCGCGCTTCAGTCTGACATAGTGGTTTGCTGCGCATGCGCGGCTACCCACAAAAAGCAGAGAAATTATTTATTTTTTACTGACATGCATCAACGAGGTGAACGAGTTACAAAACAGGATACATTTCATCTTTAAACATGAGAGAAAGTGGAACAATATATTTATTAAAATATCAGCGCATCAGAAAACCAGAGAGATTGTTATTTTTAAACATTAGCGCAATGCCAGTTTAGAAATTAAACCGGCCACTAGGCAATTGTTCATCTTTTAGCATCAGCGCACTATGAAATATTCGGATCAATTTCTTTTTTAAATATCAGCGCAACCGAAAATTGGAGAAAAGTTGATGGTAAAACATTAAAATTTCGTTTATTAACTAACTTTCAAGTGACACGCGCAAAGACAAACGGATAGACAAAAACATGCTTAACTTTAATTACTGATACGT